TGTTCAACTCAAAACATTCGTTCCTTTGCTTCAATTAGGAATACGTAACATTCAATCCCGGTTTAACTAAAAGCACTGAACCGCTTCTTAGCAAAGATTGGAAAAATTCGAAGATGTTGTTGCCATTCCACGGATTTGATAAAGATACTTATCCAGAGGTAAATCGAATTGATTCAACTAACGAGAGATGTCTCATCATATTTGTTTTCTTTACAAAAATTAAGCGCATTAAGACTAATTCATTAGTATCGACTGTTATTCTTATTTTTACTCTATTCAGGAATACAAGCAAGCGATCGATCTTTTGAAAGACGCCTACTTCGATGACACAACCAATGCTGATGCAATTAAACGTGGAAATATTGCTTTACTCTCTGAATCGAACTTTGGGTATGGTACTCTCAAAGCTGCTCGGTATCAAGTGATAGCAAACAACAAAGGAACACCAAAAAATACGTTTCTACTGAGGTTTGAATGCCAACATATTATCATAATCATCCTTTTCATTGCTTCTTTATAATTGGTTCGCATTAGATTTTCTGTAAACGCTGACATCAGCAACCTGTCTCACTTGGATAAAGATGGAGCAGCTCATGGGGAGGAACTTTGTTTTATTTTCCGGTAATGAAAATTCAATAACCTGTAGTTAATTCAAGTCTCAATAAAGAAGATCAGGTATTTTCGTGCTTTTTAACAGATGTACTAAATTGAATGTTTTCTGTGTCGCCATCTGGTTGGTGATACTAATATCTTCTCGCACGGTTCTGATGCGGATTTTATTTATTGTTTTTCCAATTTTATATAAAATTACTTTTTCATTCATAAACCCAATTCATAAACACACATAAGAGTGAAAAAAATTGTCATCATGAAGTTTAAAACACGGCACGACCAATTTCAAGTGTTGTAACTTTGTTTTTAAAAAAGCCGAATTTTATCTAAGAAAAAAAAACACCAATACAAAATAATAAATGGCAAATCATTCTTTTGCCACTTTGTTGACATTAATTCCCACTAATTTACCACATAACATTCACTTTCGAAATCATAGCATTTGAAAATTGTCATGCCGTTTGTTAAATACGAACAAACTGTGCTTTTGACCGGCGCAAGATAGCGGTGGCGCCTATTCGCAATTTGCGGAATTTTCAAGAACTATCAATACTTGTTGTTGTTGTCATGAATTTCGCAATAACAAGAAGTATTGATAGTTCCTTAAGTTGCCGCAGATCCTATTTAGGCGCTACCGCTATTCACTGTCACGTCAAATACATTGGTTCTTATGGGAGAGAAGCACAGGTTGTATACGAATGTGCAACGATCAATTTGGTTGTATCGTCTCGGCACGACAATTTTCAAATATTTGAATACGTTTTTACAGGATAAACGGATTATTTGAAAATGGTCGTGCCGAGGTGGTGTTGAGACTATACGATTCGGTTTGATTGTCTAGGCACGACAATTTTCAAATATTTTGTTTGATCCGTAAAAATCAACTCAAATATTTGAAAATTGTCGTGCCGAGATGATACAACCAAATTGATCGTTGCACATCCGTATGTAAAATTGAAATAATAGAATATTAACTGTTTTTGAATTTTTGCTATGAATAGTTCATTTTCAGAGCGTTAAGTTTGACAGATACCATTGCCGACGTTAAAAGGGTGCGTTCAGTGTCGGTATTGAACAATGAAATGTACTAAACACGTGATTTTGTATTACAATTATGAGTCGTATTTAAAAAAAATTCAATTTGTATTGGAAATGTGGGAATTAATGTCAACAAAGAGGCAAAAGAATGATTTGCCATTTATTATTTTGTATTGGTGTTTTTTTAAGATAATATCTGGGTTTTTTTTTTTAAAGTTACAACACTTGAAATTGGTCGTGCCGTGTTTTAAACTTGATGATGAGATATATTTTTTCACTCTTATGTGTGTTTATGAATGAAAAAGTAATTTTATATAAGATTGGATAAACAATAAATAAAGTCTTCATCAGAACCATGTGATAAGATATTTGTATCACCAACAACAGATGACGACATAGAAAACATTCAATTTAGTACATCTGTCAAAAAGCACGATTCTTCACTATAACATAACTGATATTCTTTTCTCCTTTGAATTTAAGTTGCGGTTTTTTCGACAGTTACAAATTATACGAAAACGCATTACAAATCAGAGACGATTCCAATGTGAACTATAGGACAATTAGGCGTATGGTCGATATAATCACTAATTTTGCTCGAACTGGGTGAGTTGTGAAGAGATTCTGAAAATTACTTTTTCATCCAATTCATTTGTTACTTTGTTACGTTCTTAGCAATCCATCGGTTGAAGGAGATACTCCGTTCATGTCATCGACATCACCGGACAAAATTTTCAGCCAAGACATCACAAATGATCCAAACAGCAGCTTAATGACCGATTTAATGCAACAAACTCATTTCAATACATGGGAGCAGATTGATGACACCCATCAAAAACTAAAATCTAGGGACACTCAAGGATACTGTGATGCTTCCACTTGTGATGACCACAAAAATTAAGACAATGAAAACACTTCCAAATAGCGGCGTAGCCAGAGATGAATTTCAGGGTTTTTTTTTGAGTTACTTGATTTTCAAGGGGGAGGTGAAATTTTTATCGCACAGGGTTGGAAAATGATTTTGGAGACACTATCTGTTGAAAATTTAATGAGATCATTAATGTAGCCGGTTTTGTGCCTAACATATTCAGCCAGTACTTGGCGGTGACAATAAATAAAAAAATATTAAGTTTTCGTAAGAAAAGTAATCATTTCCTTGAAATGATCATTTGTAAATGGGAGACAGGCTGACAGAGAAATATTATCCAATTTTTTTACAAGACGATTGAAATTTATTAAATATGTTTGGTATTTTCATTTTCTACAGTTGCATATATCTGATTTGCCAAAATCGAACTATGTTTAACATTCACCCATCTCTAGACATAAAATTCAATCAAAACTACTGTATATGAAACTTCAAGGCAAATGGAATCAAAGTAATATATTTCGTGAAAAAATTTGTATCAGTGGCGCGAGCGAAAACAATTTTTGATACATAATTCGTAATGAGTAGTTGTTAAAAAACGACAAAATTTATTTGTACCGCAAAGTCTAATACATGGAAAGATTTTTTCAATCTATGATTAAATTTAAACAAAACACCTTAACCCTCTTATGCATTAATTTTTCCCAGGGCGAGGGAGTATTGGTACTTGGTTGATTTTTGGCAAAAGATAATGAAAAAAATATTCATAATCTTGGATTCGTCATGGTTTAGTCAGGAAATGCGATTGACATAAATCAGAGAACAATCAAATCCATTGTTTAAAAGTGTCAAAAATTTGTCTAATTTCGAGTTCGAATCATTTATTTTGTCAAATTTTTGATTTTGCACACATTTTTGTTTATAACTTTACAATCACACTACATAGACAAATATTGCCAAAGACAAAATTAAAGAGAGAACATTGACGAATAAAAATTCTTTTTAAAGCAATGTGATCCGATGTACGGTTTACGTTCTACAGGCGTTCAAATGTTGCCCCTCTAGAGGCGGTTGTATGCATTAGAGGGTTAACTTGGAAAATGTTTGGGATATGATTTGAAAAAGTATCCGAAATGCATAGAATCAATAGCGCATGATGCGGTGACGCACGATACGAACGCAAAGAATGACGGGCATAGATATGATTGCAACATATCGCGATATTTGGCATCATGTCTTATTGTTTTTATGCTTTAAATAAAATAAGAAACCAAATACTCGAATTAAAATTGTATTCTCATTTTCAAAAATACGTTTATTTCACAATTTCATTTGGATTATTCATATCAACATTGATTTTTTTCTACATAGGTATAATTATATTACGGCATGAGAATATCAGCATGTAATGATGTCTCGTTGAAACAAGAAATTGACGATTTTCTTGATATTTTAATCGAAAAAGCCGGCTCTAATCAATTTACATTGTTCTTTGCTTTTTTTTAACATCTCAATTCAAGTAATGAGCTCCAGCAGATATTGCACCACCGTCTGTTTCAAAGAGAATTTTGAATTTTTCTTCTTGTGAATGTGAGACAATTATTTTCACTTACCCACGGCAAACTGAACACCAGTTATAAATGATGCAGCTTCGGATGCTAAAAATGCGATTGCAGCTGAAATTTCTTCGGTTCTGCCCATTCGGCCGATCGGATACCTTTCCTTGCACTTATTTTTCAATCGCAACGCTTCTTCGGCTGTGAATGCATTTTCAAACATTGGCGTTAAAACAAATGACGGATTGACGGAGTTTACACGAATATTTCTGGGCCCGAACTCGTTTGCGGCTGATTTGGAAAACTGATCAAGTGCGGCCTTCGTCATTCCATAAAATGCATATTTTACTGGCACAATCCCAGAAATGCTCGACACATTTACTATGTTACCTTTGGATTTTTCGAGGTGAGGAACAGCCAGTTTAGTCAAGATTACGATACCTAAACGAATTCGATTAATTTTGAAACGTTAAATCGATATGATTGAAATTGAGTATTGAAATTATGGTTGTAATACTTCTTAGATTTGTATTCATCATTCGGTCAAAGTCACTGATGTCGGCGTCCATGATATTTTTCTCACTTCCGATTGCAGCATTATTTACCAAAACATCCAAACGGCCAAAGTGGTTAATAGTTTCGGCGATGATCCGTTCCGAATCTTCAGTGACATCGGCTACGATTGCCAAAGCGTTTGGGGAGTTGTCACCTTTTATTTGTTCAACGACTTCATTTAATCCCGTTGCATTTATATCTACCAAAGCCATTTGTCCACCCAATTTCGCTATGTATCGAGCAGCGTTGGCACCAATTCCAGTGGCCGCACCAGTGATTAAAACCACTTTCTTCGTGAAATCTATCATTATGAATAAATGGTGTTAGTTGCTGTTGAAACATCAAATACTACTTTTCAACTGAAATTGAATTTTATTTCAAACGGTTATTTATAATAAAATGAAATACCTTAGAGCTTATAATTTAAATGATAATAAACCTATGATTCTATCTTGACCATTCTTAACAAAATTATTATTTGTTCATGTCTCAATTGTTTTTGCCTTCATCAAGTCTACATCAATTCCTTCAGTTTAGAATGGAATGAAATTATTTTCTTTCTACAAAAATTCGATTCTCAAATTAATTCTTTACGAGCCGGCTACTTAATTGTCGGTTACGTATATCATGCATCCAATATGAAATTGACATTGAGTAAAATGCTACTTGCTTTACAGCTTGGGGTTTCTTTCAAGTTGATCGCTTTCAATTAAAACGTAAAACTGAAGCACATTGAAATTCAGTGTATTTTGACAAAACACGATGTCTATAACCTGATTATGAGCATTCTGTGTTAATGATGATAGATTTGACACACGAATGGATTGAATGAACTGTATAGCAGCGATGAAAACTTGCTCACGCACACAGTCACATTCTTCTCAGTGAACCCAAGTGTTGATTGGCTGTCATTTTTGCACTGCTGATCGGCTTTTGAGTAATTCATAGGTAAAATGCCAAGTACAAATCATAATTTATCAATCATCGATTTATTTGCGCGCCGCTTATGACCATGACAATCATTATAACCTATCATCATTTTTGTTAAATTTGTTTTGATTTCCAACTTCCTGCATTTTGATCAACACCTATGTCAATGACGTCATGAATTAAATAAGTGATCGATTATCACGACGATAGAACAAAGACGAACATTCAATCTTAGAGAAAATTAGTCCCGTTTCAGCAGTCTTTTCGATCGGTTAGAAATTTAATTTACAGTTTCATTCGCAGCACAAGTGACAAAAAAACTGTTTATTACAACATGAAAATATACATTTTGGATTGAAACAATATTTTTGGTCTCTCGAAGTGCGGATTTTACTTTTCCGTTAAACATGTTCTACTGAAGAAAGCATTGATTTTACTCCCCAAACTTGGATGACCTTTTCACATGCGGTCCATTGAGAATTCGTGAAAAACTAATTCTTTAATGGAGCAATTTAATTGGGTAGAAAAACCATCAACCAAGTGCTTTCAAACTCAAAAAATACTTTGTTTTGAAAATGATACCAATAGTTTCGAGGGTTATCGATTATCCTATATTGCTATTTTTGTTAATTGTTTTTTCATTTAGAATCACATTCTAACTATATCCATGAACTTTGAAAATATCATATTTCGATTACCATGTAAAAGTTTCATTTTCCCGTATTTTCACATAATGATCACAAAAAAGAGTGTTGAAATACACGGGAATCCAAACTATTTTTTTTTTAGAAAATTAAACACTAGTTAATTTCCATACATTTACCTACATTCACACGTAAAAGTTCCGTTTTATGGCCAAACTAACGACAAAGTGAGTATTCTAAACGCAATTATTTTTACGGAAAAATTGTGGTTTTATGAGGAAGACGAACTCGGCATTGTACCATCGCCAGGAAAGTTGAAAAATCGTAACTTTTTTTTCACACTTTTCAAAATCTTATATTTTTTAAACGGTCAGAGCTAGAACTTCGGAATATTAGGTGAAAAGATGCGGGCAACCTTCCTCTTTCCAAAACTACTCAACATGTTCGAAAATATTACTCAGGCCATACGATATGGCTCTGCCTGTAACACTCTATTTTTGTCTCATTTTTGAGTTTTACATGTAACCTTATGGAGTGACTGAAAAAATGGGGTCGACCGAGCAAAATTTTTTTTTCTTCTAATTAAAATTTTCTTAAGGTTTTTGGGGTCGCTGATCACGAATCTGCAATCAGAATTGCAAAATTCCCACCCGTTCAATCTTGGTCGTCAAAGGGTTAAAGTAGGAGAGATGTACCGGATTTGAGACGGCACCAGATGTGAGACAGTCGATTCTTTTTATCACGCAATATCCATATCGCCGATCTGATTGGTGTCAAACTTCTCTTTTGAGATGAGCCAATTTTTGCGCTTATACCAAACTTAATATACGCATTGCTTTTGTATTAACTCCAAACATCATTGTTGAAAATCGACTTAGAAACTTTAAACAAAAATTAATTTTTTTGAGTGAATCAATAAAAAATGTGACTGTAATGCTTGGCAAATGGCTACTATGGTACTATAGTATATACATGTCATTGTTTTGATTCGCAAGATACACTGTTAATTCATCAGATGGACAGCAATATCTGTAGATAGCGTATTGATAGCATTTTCACATAGCTAATACATTGTAATGTATACAATACTTATGTCCACCGATTGGAATAATATTTATGAAAAAAAAAAAAAATTTGGAGTCTCTCTGATTTTTAATTATTTTATTTAATACTTTTTTTATTCTTTTTTTGTTGTAAATGCGTTGAATATTCCATAAATTACCTAGGAATTGCATATTCCAATTGCTAAAAAATTTCCGAACTTTCTGACACCAATAATTTCTTTGGAATAAATTAAATCTAATTGTGATGAATTGAAATCGCCAGCGTATAAAATAATAAAATGCGATTTGACGTTTTATTTAGTTTTTCACAGTAACTTTATTAAAATAATGTAAGAGTCGAAAAATCGGCACCCGCGCCCATTCCATACAAGCGGAACCAGCCTTTCTGATCATGAAAATAGTAAACAATACAGCGGCACCTGGGGACTAAGTGCAACGTGTCAAACTTTCAACGTTTGAATTACACAGGCGCACTTACACAGACGCATACTTGTTACAGCAAACTATGTGCATGATTCTCTATTTCTCCAACCAGTCGCCAGGTGCCGCTTTATTGTTCTTGTTTGACGTTTCCTATCTATTTGAACAGACGATCAGAGAGGCTGAGCGGAACCTCTGCTAGAAGACTGAACGATGAACGTAGTCGGTTCATCTTACTTATACTAATTAATATAATCTGAATCTAAAATTAGCCGCATCACATTAACACTTATCTTATCAATCATTATATTATACGTATTCGAATAACACTTTTCAAGCCATTCTCTTGTTTGAACGGTGTTTTTTCCCATCAAGAAGCAATGTTTTATCAACACACGAAATTCGGATTTTTCCATGTTTTTAAAAATAAGAAAAGTTGCGTCACTTCGAGCACTGTAGCTTGTAATCAAATAGTCAGAATTTCATGAAATTTTGACGCGTCACTTCTGAAGGTTGATAGTTACTCCCCGCCAATACCATTAATTCGGCCGAAGCGGTGCCATCTGTGTGTCATCCTACGGACTTATTGACCGATGTGTTATTCATTGAAAAATCTATGATTACGCTCTACAGTACCAACACTTTCGTGTCGATATGGAGTTGAGAATTTTTGATCGATGTTCAGTAATTGACATAGCTCTGATAAAATAGAATTGCGATATTCAGTACCACAATCTGAACGTAATTCTTTGATCATTCCGTATTTCAAAATGAAACTGTCCATTATTGCTTTTGCCACGAGGCTTCACTAGTGACTATGAATGAACGTAATTTCTCGTTACATTTCTCATTACGTCCATTCATATTCGCTATAATGCAACGTTGCCGAAACCTGTACGTTCTTGTTTTCTTACTGCGCACTTCTTTTCTACGGTGAAGCAGACCGCTTTGTTGATGTGTAAATACGGGTAAAACACCGGCGCTCCGGGGTTTTCATACAAACTTCCCATGTAGACGATCCGAAACAGGCAAAAATCGAAAAAAAAGTTTAATTTTTTTTTCGATTCTCATATAGTATTTTTTATGCCCAATCCATTGGTGTTATCGCCACATCGAAATTCGGGCTCCTTATCACTTAATTTGCATCATGTGATAAATGCGAGTGACATCATCAATAGCTTGGGAATGAATTGAAATGAAACACACGAAAAAATATTCGAGTAACGAAACAATGTGATAGAGATCCATTCATATGAAACAATGCGAGAGGATTCATTCATAACGACACTGCAGACAAAAAATCTATCAAAACGGAACACCGCAAAGCGAAATACTTAAAACGGCACATGCTATGTTTCATTCTTACGGATTTCTTTTCCATGTTCCATTTTAATGGATTGCTTTATTGTTGTTTCGTATCTGTGTATTGAGCGACGAAGTCTCATGTTCATTTCAACCGCATCAAATAAGCCAAAGTAATCATTGTGGTGTAAATTACAGAATTCTTATACAAATCTGAAATAAATAAAACGCAAACAATTGTTGGAAAAATTAAAAATGTCTAGTTTTAAATTCCTGGGTTTAATGGTTTCAGTTTTGACTAATTTTATTTGTGATTTTGGTATAATTTCATCTTTTTCTTAGCTTATATTCAACTTCTCACACTTCCAACGGATTCCTGGTGAAAAATTACGGTAAGAGAAACTACATTCAAGTTACTTTAAAACAATTTTGTGTCCGATAGAAGCCTAAAATCGGCAAAATCTCCATTCTTATCCAATTTTCATAATATCTATTGCATGAAAGTAACCGCTATTTATCTGCTTGAAAATGGTCAAATATGAGTTATTTATTCGAGAATTACATATCTGGTTGAACGACCATCGTTTCACATTGATTTTATCTTCGAATGTGACAAAATCTCTGAAAAACTGCCAAGAAATAAAAGTCCTAGAATTCAATTTTGCTCATGTCTGATGAGCTATTTTTATTTTATTTTTGACGAGGAATCGATTTATGATCAAATCGGATTCAAACTAATATGACTTTAGTGTCGAAAATACGATAGTTTCAGACCAAAATAAGCAAGCGTTTTCATAGCTAAATCATCCCATTGAGCGAACAATTTGTATCTTTTCTGCCTTGGAACTTCTAATAAGATCCCCCACAATCATTTTGGGTATTTACATGTGACAAGTCGAGAGGTGTTTGCATATGCATCTAGCCTCATATTCAGTTGGACTGATCAGGGTAAGTATCTTATTAAAAAGTTATTTTTTCTACTCATTTTTCTATCATTTTGGTCTCAAATGAGCATTTTTATGTGAAATTAAATAATCGCAATATGGATTCGTTAGGAATCTTCGACGCAGTATAATGTGGAATGTACTACCATGCTTCTAATCATACAAGGTTCGTGCGATATTTATTCAATAATATTACAATGTATAATTAAAATAATTGATAAATTATAGTTCATCAATAATCAATTCATTTGCGCGGCGCTTATTACTATAACAATTATTATTATTAGTATTTAATAATAGGATTGAGAATGCTCACTTTGTCGTTAGTTTGGCCATAAAACGGAATTTTTACGTGTGATTGTACTGAAATGTATGAAATTTGTGATTGGAAGATTAACGAAATATATCTTTTCCCAGAGCTTTGATGTCTCTGAAATGACATTTAAAAAAAAGATTCCCGTGTTTTTCAACACTCTTTTCATGATCATTATGTAAAAATACGGGAAAAGGAAACTATTCTACATGATGTTAAAAGGAAGTGATACGCCTATGGACCTAACACTCAAAATGATTGATACCATATTTGGATCACTATTGTGGAATTTTTTTTGGTAATTTTTCACAAAAATTGATGCAAAATATATGTGAATCTACAGAACACATTGGACCAGGTCGGTTCCTGTATTGCTTCATGTAATTGTTTAATTTAAGCTCGGAAGCTCATAGTAATATCGCAAAATTTACACTTATTTCCTACGAAGATAAAAATTCAAAGTCAAAACTAAATTGAAATTCAGATAGAATTAGGGTATTAAAAAGAAAACGTAAGCAATTTGAAGCCGAAATAAATTGAACTGCAAATCTAGGTATTTAACACCGATGGGACAAAGCAAATATTATTTTCAATACAAAATGTATATTTTCATTTTGTAATGAACAGTTGAAGAAAATTTTCAACCGACCGAAAAGACTGCTGAAACGAGGCTAATTTTCTCGAACATTGAATGTTCGTCTTTGTTACATCGTCGGGATAATCAACCACTTATTTAATCCATGGCGTCATTGACATAGGTGTTGATCAAAATGCAGGAAGTTGGAAATCAAAACAAATTTAACAAAAATGATGATAGGTTATAATGATTGTCATGGTCATAAGCGGCGCGTAAATAAATCGATGATGGAAAAATGATGCTTTGTACTTGACATTTTACTAACGAATTAGTCAAAAGCCGATCAGCAGTGCAAAAATGACAGCCAATCAACACTTGGGTTCACTGAGAAGAATGTGACTGTGTGCGTGAGCAAGTTTTATCGCTGCTATACAGTTCATTCAATTCATTCGTGTCTCAAATCTATCATCATTAACACAAAATGCGCATAATCAGGTTATAAACATCGTATTTTGTTAAAACACACAGAATTCAAATGTGCTTCAATTTTTACGTTTTAATTGAAAGCGATAAACTTGAAAGAAATCCCAAGTGTCATTTTACTCAATGTCAATTTCATATTGGATGCATGACCTACAAAACCGACAATTACGTAGCACAGACTTACTGTCTATTAATCAAACACATTTTTTTTCTCTTTGTTCTATCTGAATCGATACGTTGACAATTTCTTTGAAAAATTCATCACATACATTTAATTTGAATGAACCCATTATTTTATTATTACTAGTGTTAACACCTCAAAGTGAATTATCATAAATTTTACAGCTAATTTATCGAGAGTTAGTGTTAACACCTCATTAAATGTAAATTATCATAAATTTTATAGCTAATTTATCGAGAGTCTCTTGTAAAATTCCAGTTCTTTGTAAAACTAAAGAAAGCAATGCAACAATTATAAGTAAAAATGCACACGCAATCAAAAATGTACGAATCAACTAAAATCACAGTGCAACACTGGTCAGACAATACAGGAGTGACTATACTAGGGCGTTTGTACTACCTGAGACAAGAAAAATCCCAACTGCGTTTTGCAAGTTCTGTTGGCGTTTTCGTTTTATCGACTTATCTGTTTTTGTCCTATAATGGATTTTTGGCAAAGTTGACATCTTTAATTTTTGGTCCATAAATCATTCAATATTGGTGATAGCGTATTAATGTCTCGAGCAAAGTTGTTGCTAAAAGTCCAATAAATAAATTTTACAACAAACTATGCCCAAAAAGTCAGATTTTGTAGGTGGTTTGGGGCAAAATGTCGAAAAAATGGTCGATTTTTCCAGTTTTTCCACTAAAACTCACAACGTATTCATTTTCTGGCCACCATCTTTGACAATTCTACGGCCAACGTAAAGAGAAACAACTTTGCTCAACATGCCAATCCAGAAAAATCATGTTCTGTCTACCCGTTGGGCTCAAAATCACTCTTGAGTACCAAAAATGGTCAATTTGTTGAGAATTTTGGCCTATTACATGGAAATAGCATCTTTTGTGGAGCCATAACTTTCCGATTGGACATCGTAGGTAGATTATATTGGCCTTATTTTGTACCTATGAACATCAGCTTTAATATGTATAGTCACTCCTGTATTATCTAAAACTTTTTTAAAATTGTTGCACTGTGTATTGAGTGGAAATTTTCTGGAACATTTCCTTTTCCGTTCCGATCAAAATCAAGAATAATAATAATGGTCCTAGATCAAATGTGTAAACAAGACGACTTTGATAAGAATGAAAAGCTTATTGTCATCCTTTTCATTTTTTGTAGTGTTGCTCGAGAATGAAATGAGTTGTTCTGATGCTTTGGTTAAAATACAAAATCTTCGACACCTGGCTCGATTTGAAGTTTAAAATAGACATGCAGAAACAAGTACATTCTTAACCATCTAGTGCATTCAACCACCTTTAGATGGGCAACATTTGAACGCCTGTATAACGTAAACCGTACGTCGGATCACATTGCTTCAAAAGACATTTTTTTTAAGGTGTCCTCTATAGTTTCGTCTTTTGCACTATTCGTCTACATTAAGCGTTTTTCGTGTTATAAACAAGAATGTGCGCAAAATCAAAAATTTGACAAAATAAATTATTTGAACTCCAAATTAGACACATTTTTGACACTGTTAAACAATGGATTTGATTGTTCACTGACTTATGTCAATCACATTTCCTGACAAACCGATGAAGAATCCAGGATTATGAATATTGTTTTTAATTATCTATAGCCAAACATCAACCAAGTACCAGTACTCCCAGCCCTGGGAAAAATTAATGCACCAGAGGGTTAAAGCAAGATATGACTTCTTTGTGTGTGGTTGGCGTTGAAATAAAAAAACTTTGTCTCAGATGTAAAACTACAAGTTTCCATTAGAAAAATCAAGTTCAATTGAAAATTTGTATTGTCTTTTTAAATGGATTACGCAAAAATTTAAGATAGTAGGCGATTTTCAGTACGTCACAACAGTATCGCAGTGGCCGATCTAAACCGCTTTTTTGTAGATATAGTTTCAAGAAGTCCGCGTGAAAAACTGCTTTTCTTTCAATGATAGATGAATCAAATGCTCATTTGCAAATAATTTATTGGCCTACGAGGGAGAAAAAGTTTCTCATGGTGTGAGAATGAATATAATGGGAGTTTACGTTTTGTAAAAGCGGTTTGGGCAACTTAGCCATTATTATCTTTGAACTGTCCAATTTGGATTCTCGATTACAAGGCACCGCATTCTTTTTTCGTATCCTCGGATACTTCGACATTAGTTATCATAGTTAGAACCAAGCATGAAGCTTTTTAGAAAAAGTGTTTCGTTGACGAAGAACTTCGGTATTTCCAATTTTTAATTGGTTGTGACGAATTGTATTGAGAGACTAGCCGATATAAATGTTTGTTGTATACGTACTACACTAAGGGAATATCACGCTCCTGAATCTTGTGAGATATTTGAAATAAACATCAATTGTATGACATATTTTCGAATATTTCGAATAAATGAATCAGATTTTTGTGGATTTTGGAGATATTTGAGATTTTTTGCATTGAATCCGAATAAATACATTTAAATATCATTCATAATCACAAAAATCCACAATATTCCGCCATATTCACAAATATCCAGCATATTTCATACGACAGATTCTTGGAGATAAATTGGATTTTTTTGAAATATTTGAAATAATTCAAGCGTGATATCCCCCTAGGTACTACACCAGCCATTAAATTGAAAATATACAAAGAAAACTTCTTATTCTGACGAAAAAAGCAAATTTTATAGGCGAACGTTTTCGTGAAGACACTTTCACATCATCAGGCTCTCAACAAAACTTGCGTTGTATATTATTATTCTCGTGTTGTTTAGAGTCTGATGATGTGAAGGTGTCCTCACGAAAATTTTCTCAAATTAAATTTGCTCCTTACGCCAGAATAAAAAGTTTTCTTGTCATATTTTCAATTAGACTAATCGATCATAATTTGTCCCATTACGTGGATCTGAATAAGAACATTTCTTATTTTCTGTTAGTCACGTTATCCCCACACATGCATACTTCGAAGAGCTCGACTTCTGTACACGACAACCAATTCAGTTTCAAAATCTCGGGAAAACCAGTTGACTGCGATGTTGTATTTGTGTTGATGGCGTCTCGTGTCACTTCAGATCATTCTGTATATAAGCAGTACACTTAGTTCAAAGACATTAGATCAAGTGTATACTCGCTGTCTAACATACGATAGCATCCTTACTCTAATTTTTAAAGGTTGAGTTTTGTGTAAAATTTCAATTTGTTATTTTCCATGAATGTGCGAATGTACTGAATTTAAGCGAAAAAAAAAAAATTTCGTTAAAAAAAAGTGTTGAAAAAGTGTGTGAAAATAAATTACGGAAATTTGCTAATATTTCAACGTTTTCTATCAACGAAGATAAGAACATTGTAAGTGAAGACTGACTAAATTGCGTGCGAAAAAAATTGAAAATAGTGCATCATATTGGAAAATACTCTAATCGTTATCTTGGCATAAGCTAGGTATCATGGCATAATTTGATGAGTAGTTCAGGCTCAAATGGGTAGTTCTGAAATCAGAACCGGCAGCTCTGAAACGCGGTTTGAGCAGTTCCAAAATCGAAGGAAATGAAGAAAAAATATAGAAAAAAATACAAAGAAAATTTGAACTACGCACTGAAATAGGCCGTGATTTCAAAACTATCAAACTATACACATTCAGACAATATGTTTCACGTGCAATTGAATGCGTGAAATTCACATTGAAACTGTTGCTTAGCAGCGACACTGTAATTGTGTCATTTAAAAAAATGTATGTTCATTTTTGGCGGGTCGTCGCGGTTTTTAGCGGGTTTTCACGGTTTTAGGCGAACCGAATGTAAGAGATAACAACTTGAAGTCTTCGGACAATTTGTAGTAATCGAGGTCCTCTATAACTTTGCTGACAGTTACGTCTTATCTCTTTGCGTGAAGATTCGCAAAGTTTTATGACTTTTCGATCTTCGGAACATCAATATTGGATTGCATTTAATTTCAATTTTTCTTGATTTTTTACGTTCGCCAGCGCTTGAGTACAGCTGTTACTTATTTGTTGGTGGTCATACGATAGATCTGACTGTGGCCAAAGAACCTGAAACCTTTTCGTGCTTTTTGACAGATGTACTAAATTGAATGTTTTCAATGTCGCCATCTGTTGTTGGTGATACAAATATCTTATCACATGGTTCTGATGAAGATTTTATTTATTGTTTATACAATTTTATTCAAAATCACTTTTTCATTCATAAACTCAATTCAGAAAAGAAATCAGAGTTATTTCAACAGTCGAGTTATTTTGCATGCAAAATGTCTAAAACATAAGAGTGAGAAAATTGTCATCATCAAGTTTACACGGCATGACCAATTTCAAGTAATGCAACTTTGTTTTGAAAACACTAGTAAAAAATAATAAATGGTAAATCATTCTTTTGTCTCTTTGTGGACATTAATTCCCACATTTTCGATAGAAAGTGAATTTTTTCACACAACTCATAATTTCACAATCACGTGTCTAGTACATTTCATTGTTCAATACCGATATTGAACACACCCTAACATCAGCAATGGTATCTGTCAAACTTTACGCTCTGAAAATGACGTTCATAGCAAACATTTAAAAACAGTCAATATTTTATTTTTTTAATTTTTATTTGGGGAAACTAACATAACATTCACTTTCGAAATCATACCAAATATTTGAGTTCATTTTTACGGATCTAATGAAATATTTGAAAATTGTCGTGCCGAGGTGGTGCTGTGACTATACAA